GTAACGTTTTATACCTCTAATGATAGCTTTAAATTACTAATAAAATGTTCATAAGAATTATCCTCACCATTTACCATTATTGTCAATAATAATATTGAAATTTTATAGTTATATTCATAACTTTAATAATTAGTATTATTCAGAAAACTATTTTCATGTCAAAATTTGTGTTTGAAAAAACAATATACTATGCCAAAAAAAAATATCAGATTTGTAGTATTTTGATAATAATTGACTTCAGGATGGCTACATATCATTCCGAGAATTCATCACAGCATTATCAATCACATCACGAGGAACAGTTGATGAGAAACTTGACTGCAAGTTTACATCATAATTATCTCTTCTTTCGTGTTTGCATAATTAGTTTACATATTAATCATTATTTATTTTAAGGGGCATTTTCACTGTACGATGTAGATAATGATGGATATATAACAAAAACTGAAATGGTGAATATTATTGAAGCAATACATTCAATGGTTGGAGATATCATGGATCTACCAAACGATGAAAATACTCCTGAAAAACGCGTCACTACAATTTTTTTAAATATGGATTTGGTTAGTTTATTTTTGGTATATAAAAATCACAATATTCTAAATTAAAATAACAAGTGCATCATGAATTTGAAGTTATAGAACTCTTGAAATAATTCCACAAACTCAATTCTAGATTGTACTGAAAAACATAGCTGCCAAATAAATCAAGTACGAATAATTTAATCTTAATAACTTAATAATAGACGTAAATTAAAATCTTTCAAGAGTTATTTCTACTTAACTCTGACATGCATACGTGATGAAAATGATATCAATAACCATAATTAGACTTTTTTGTTTTGCTTTATTAAAACTGATGTGTTTACATCTGTACTGTACTTCAAAATTTTCTCAATGAAATTAAGCTAGAATAATGAGAAGTTTTGTTTCAGAATTTGGATGGCAAATTGACACGTGAAGAGTTCAAGCAGAGTTCTAAAAATGATCCATGGATTGTTCAGGCTCTAACAACTGATATTCCTTGATGAATTAAGTTTTCATAGCGATGTTACTTACTTTTTTTATACTTCTTAATTTTGAGTTACTAATTTATCAAACAATTCTGTCATACTTGCATGTTACATTATAATTCTAAAAATCAACTCATTTTACTACATTGCATATAAATTTTTTTACTCAAAGAAAGACGATTACTACTAATTAATCATGCAAATTTTTCGCTCTACACTGTAAAAACTACAGTAGATTTGTAAAACTCACTGGAACTCCAAAAAGAATAAAGTCATTCTCAAATATTACCTTCATGCTTCCACTTTAT